GGCTGTGCCAGGGCAGAGTCAGGGCTGTGCCAGGGCTGAGCCAGGGCTGTGCTAGAGCTGTGCTACGTCTGTGCCAGGGCTGAGCCAGGGCTGAGCCAGGGCTGAGCCAGGGCTGAGCCAGGACTGAGCCAGGGCTGAGCCAGGGCTGAGCCAGGGCTGAGCCAGGGCTGAGCCAGGGCTGTGCTAGGTCTGTGCCAGGGCTGAGCCAGGGCTGAGCCAGGGCTGAGCCAGGGCTGAGCCAGGGCAGAGCCAGGGCTGAGCCAGGGCTGTGCCAGGGCTGAGCCAGGGCTGTGCTGGAGCTGTGCTACGTCTGTGCTGGGGCCAAGTCAGGGCTGTGCCAGGGCCAAGTCAGAGCTGTGCCAGGGCCGTGCCAGGGTTGTACCAGAGCTTGGCCAGAGCTGGACCTGGGCTGCCCCAGAGCTACACCAGGGCTCAGCTGGGACTGGGTTAGGTTTGCGCTGGGGCTGGTGCTGGGAGCCAGAAATTCCTAGGCAGTTGGCAGGGACCTGCCTCCTAGAGTCCTCACCCACTGCATGCCATGTCTGCCCTGGCAGGCAGCTGGGATGGGGCTGAGCAGGGCCTTACCCAGGCACTCCCACACAGGTCACGGTGTGCTGCATGCCCACTGCTAGGCCCAAAGCTACCCCACAGCATCGCCCCTGTGAGCAACCCTGGATTCCCTGCCACATGTGGAAGATGACACAGCTCAGGATGGGCGCAGTCCCTGCCCAGCCACTGTCCACAGTAGCATCCTTGCTAACAGCGTTTCTGGTTCTGGATCACCATGTGCCCAAGTTCTCATGTCTCCAGGTCACTGTGTGTGAGGGTGGCACGTGTCCAGGTCACTGTGTGTGTGAGGGTCACCGTGTGTCAGGGTGCTGCGGGTCCAGGTCACTGTGTGTGTGTGTGTGAGGGTCACCGTGTGTCAGGGTGCTGCGGGTCCAGGTCACTGTGTGTGTGTATGTGTGTGTGTGAGGGTGGCACGTGTCCAGGTCACTGTGTGTGTGAGGGTCACCGTGTGTCAGGGTGCTGCGGGTCCAGGTCACTGTGTGTGTGTGTGTGTGTGTGAGGGTCACCGTGTGTCACGGTGCTGCAGGTCCAGGTCACTGTGTGTGTGAGGGTCACCGTGTGTCAGGGTGCTGCGGGTCCAGGTCACTGTGTGTGTGTGTGTGTGTGTGTGTATGTGTGTGTGTGAGGGTGGCGTGTGTCCAGGTCACTGTGTGTGTGAGGGTCACCGTGTGTCAGGGTGCTGCGGGTCCAGGTCACTGTGTGTGTGTGTGTGTGTATGTGTGTGTGTGAGGGTGGCGTGTGTCCAGGTCACTGTGTGTGTGAGGGTCACCGTGTGTCAGGGTGCTGCGGGTCCAGGTCACTGTGTGTGTGTATGTGTGTGTGTGAGGGTGGCACGTGTCCAGGTCACTGTGTGTGTGAGGGTCACCGTGTGTCAGGGTGCTGCGGGTCCAGGACACTGTGTGTGTGTGTGTGTGTGTGAGGGTCACCGTGTGTCACGGTGCTGCAGGTCCAGGTCACTGTGTGTGTGAGGGTCACCGTGTGTCAGGGTGCTGCGGGTCCAGGTCACTGTGTGTGTGTGTGTGTGTGTGTGTATGTGTGTGTGTGAGGGTGGCGTGTGTCCAGGTCACTGTGTGTGTGAGGGTCACCGTGTGTCAGGGTGCTGCGGGTCCAGGTCACTGTGTGTGTGTGTGTGTGTATGTGTGTGTGTGAGGGTGGCGTGTGTCCAGGTCACTGTGTGTGTGAGGGTCACCGTGTGTCAGGGTGCTGCGGGTCCAGGTCACTGTGTGTGTGTGTGTGTGTGTGTGTATGTGTGTGTGTCAGGGTGGCACGTGTCCAGGTCACTGTGTGTGTGTGTGTATGTGTGTGTGTGAGGGTGGCGTGTGTCCAGGTCACTGTGTGTGTGAGGGTCACCGTGTGTCAGGGTGCTGCGGGTCCAGGTCACTGTGTGTGTGTGTGTGTGTGTGTGTGTGTGTGAGGGTGGCATGTGTCCAGGTCACTGTGTGTGTGTGAGGGTGGCGTGTGTCCAGGTCACTGTGTGTGTGTGAGGGTCACCGTGTGTCCGGGTGCCACATGTCTAGGTCTCCGTGTGTGTGTTTGACCCCTGCAGAGAAGCGGTTCTCTGTGGCCTGCCTTTGTCCATCTTGTCCTCTTGACCTTGCCACTGGTCTGCCAGCCTTCTCCTGCCCACTCCTGTCCTATGAGCCCAGCACCAGGTCTGTTCTCACAGTGCCACACACCTCCCTCCTCAGAGCCCGTGGTGGCCTAGGCCCGGCCAGGCACCTCTCCCGCCCATAACTGTGGCACCCTGGCCCTCTGTGCTAAGGGGATGCTGTCGCCCCCTGTCTTCTGCTTTTCTTCCCTGCTGGCCCCCAAGGGAACCAGGGGCCCCTCTTTGCTTCCCCAGTGGCTCCCAGTTTGGGGACTTGTGGGCAGGGACACGCAGCCCTCGCCCACTAGCCTCCTGGCCAAGCCAGGCTTGCTTGGTGCCACCCTTCACTACACACCCACTGCCTGCAGGAGCATACACGGTGCATGGCGCATCCGCCTGGGCTGGGCGAAGGCCCCTGTGGGGCAACGAGCCTACGTCACCCCCCGCCCCCGGAGGAACTGACCGAGAACCGGAAGCACCAGGCCTCACGGTGGGGCCTGCTGTCTTCCTGCAAGACCGCACAGCCCGCCTGGGGAGCGACAGTAGAAGCCACCTCCAACCAGGCCGGGACCCACGGAGCTGAGCGTGAGTGCAGGGGCCCCTCCGTGTCCTGGGCAGCCTCCGGGGCAGCTGCCACAGCCCGCGCAAGAAGTCCCTCCAGGGATGTGCCTGTGGCCCTGGCGTGTCCCAGACATCCATTCCAAGTCCCCCTTTTCTGAGCTGTGGTGCAGGCAGAGGCTGTGTCCCCCACGCCCTGAAGCCAGAGCCACAGGGAGCAGTTGCTGGGCCCCTGGTTCCAGGCCAGGGTCTCCCAGCAAGCCAGGTGCTGGTGATTCTCCGGCATTTGCGAGCCACAAGGCCCACAGAGCCAGGAGGAGGCTCAGGTGAGGGTTGGAAGACCCGAGCCGGGGGTGCTGGGCAGGGCCACCGCCAGCAGTGCAGGGGGCCTGAGGCCTACGTGGGACAGTTGCACAGCCTTTTCTGGGTGTCTGTGAGGTGTTCAAGTCTGTATGATGTGTGTGATATACATTGTGAGTGAAACATGCGGTACGTGTGTCTGTGGTGACACTGCAGTCCCCTGAAGGCAGTGGGTGCAGAGGGCTGTGCGACCCTGCTCCTGGTGGATGTGGGGGTGCTACACAGCCACAGGTTCAGGGCCGGCCTCCCCTCATACCTGTCGGCTCTGACAGGAGGGGTCCCCGAGGGCCAGCCCCCACCCTTGCTGGGCTGACCCTGTACCCACAGCGCAGACGCCTCCTGGCTTCTTGGCAGGGATGTGGGCAGCTGGTGGTCTTGCAAGAGGTGTCACATGAGCAGTGTTCAGCAAGGGGAACTGTTGTCACAGGGATGTTTGCTGCAGGCAGAGACCCCAGATCAGGAGCCGTGTGCTGGTGGTGAGGATCGCCGAGCCGGCCTCCGGTACTGGGGGTGAGGGGGGCCGAGCCGGCCTCCGGAACTGGAGGTGAGGGGGGCCGAGCTGGCCTCTGGTACTGGGGGTGAGGGGGAGCCGGGCCAGCCTCCGGGGAGTGGGTAAAGGTGGCTGAATTGGCTTCCGGTACTGGGGCTGAGGGTGGCCGAGCTGGCCTCCGGGGAGTGGGTGAGGGTGGTGGGTTAAGCCCACTTTCTAGGGCAGAACCTCGCTAGGTCTGGCCATACCGGCAGGTCCCAGGGGTACCTGTTGCCTGTGAGGCAGCCAGCAGTCTGTCCAGGGCTGGAGCCCTATCTGGCTGGCACTGGCTGCTGGAGATGGCTGCCATGGAGACAGGCCCGGGCACCAAGGGCTCCCTTCTGGGCAATCTCAGCGGATGCCCGGGGCCACCCCCAGGCCAGCCAAACCCGGGAGCTGACTGTGCCCGTCCTGCAGGACAGAGCTGGCCTCCCTCCACGACAAGGCCTCAGTCCTGAGGAGAACCCTGGGGCACGTGAGCTCGGCTCGCCAGCTGCTGACACCATGGTGCTGGGCCTGGACCCAACCCGCGAGCCTAGAGCAGTTCTCATCTAGTCGCTGAACCCAGGGCCATCTGCCTGGGAGGGCAGGAGGAGTCACTCAAGCAGGATAGAGCCCCTCCCCAGGCCCCTGTCTGCAGACCTCCCCCCAGGGCAGAGGGGTTCCCGCTCCTGGCAGTGAGTGAGCTATGAGGGCTAGGCCAGTCACCTCCAAGCTGGCCTAGCTGGGCCCGCAGGCCATTTGCCTCCTCACTGCCCTGGGAAGGCAGAAGGTATCCAGATTGCCCACTTCCAGCAGCCAGGGCCCAGGGAGCTGCACACAGGCCCTGCTCGTGCACACACCCATAGCCTAGCAGGTGCCCAGGGCGGATGTGACTGGAGGTGTCCATCCCCCTGCAGGACGCAGCTCAGCACCTGACTCCATCAACATGTCTGGGCTGGCGTCCCAGGAGCCATTCCAATTCTGGCTTCCTGCTAGCCTGGCCCATCAGGCAGCAGGTTGAGGTACTGAGGTCTCTGCTGCTCACAGGGGAGACCCAGATGGCCTAGCCCAAGGCCTGTCTGCTGCAAACATTTGGGGAGGGAGCCAGCAGCTGGGAGGTCTCTCTGTCGCTGTCTTGAATAAATAAACATTACAGGGAAGCTCTCACGTAGCGTAAGGAGGAGGCCGGGGAAGGTGCTGGTAGCAGCTTTCTCTCCATCCACTCACTGATTCAGATTGACAGAGAGAAGGAGAGACAGAAAGATCTTCCTCCTGATGGTTCACTTCCATATGGCCGCAGTGGCCAGAGCTGAGCCAGTCGGAAGCCAGGAGCTTCTTCAGGTCTCCCACAAGGACAGGGGCTATCTTCTGCCGCTCTCCCAGGCCACTAGCAGGCAGCTACACGGGAAGAGGAGCAGCCGGGACGTGAACCAGCGCCCCATGGGATGCTGGTGCCGTAGGGGAGGACCAGCCTGCTTTGCCACCACACCGACCCCCAACCACCCGCCTTCCACTGTGAAATCCCCCGAGGCTGTGCTCGCCCCTTTGTCACTGTGCGGGCTGCCACCCGGGCGGGGCCACACAGGGGTGTGGATGGGCACGGTGGCGTTGCTGGCCAAAATGGGTTTCTGCTTTGGGCAGACACTGGTTCCCAGCCCCGGCGCCTTCCCCTCTGGGCCGGGGAGGTGAAGGCTGCCGCGCAGCTCTGCCTGCTGCTTCCTGTGGGCTGCGTCCTCACCCTCCCGCTCGCCGTCCAGCCTCTGCCCGTTTTGCTCCCTGCCTCCTGTGCCCGGGTCCCAAGATGGATGTCGGCCCCTGCCTACCTGAGCATTCAGAACCGGCTGCTCACTGGGAGCAGAAGCCAAGATTCTGATGTCTGCACTGACCCTGAGCCTGCGGTGGCATCCGCTGTGCCCTGGCTGGGGAGGCGTCCAGCAGAGCACTGCCGTGTGTAATTGGGTCTGTGTGATTGGAGGGGCTTGTGCCCATGGGCAGTGTGGGGACTGTGGCAGTCCCAGACTGGACAGCCGACTGTGTGTCTCCCGGGCCTGGGCAGGAGCCTGCCGAGTGCCCCCAAGCCTCCTGCCCTGTGAGCTGTGCATTTGCCCTTTGTCCCCGCTCTGCCTGGAGTGCCCGTGACTGGTTGGCACTGACCCAGCCCCTGCCCGGCACAGCTCTGTCTGCCGCCCACTTTGGCCCAAGGTCTGTGTCTTTCCCATTCTCACAAAGAATGCCAAGGCTGTGCCCTGCCCCTCGGCCTGGTGAGGGGCGCTCTGACCCATGGACGCCTCTGCCGCCACGCCCTCCCAAGGCGGCTCCCATTTCTGCTGGGCAGAGGGGTCAGGTCTGATGCAAAATCCGGGTGGGCCCGGAAGGCCTGGGTGTCTCAAGTGGCCTTGGCTTAAGGTTTTGCAACTTGACACAGCCACGGCACCACTGGGAGCCCTGTGCCCACTTCTACTTTCTGTGCCAGCACCCGGCCTTCCCCCAGTGTCCACTGCCACCTGCTCCCTGCCTCAGCGTCCCCCGTGATTCCTCTAACGCCGTGTTCCAGTCACAGAACTCCAGAGTTGGACGTCTTTGTCCGTGGGCTGTGCTGCTGCCTGGGAGAGTGGCCGGCCCACAGCCAGCGGAGGATCTGGCCTGGGGAGGCTCAGTGCTGCGGTGAGCACCTTGGGGACACGGCCATGACTGTGCCGGGAGCTGCAGTGAGGGCGGTGGGGACAGTCCACGGCTGGACCAGGAACTGCATTTACAGCCCTTGGGGACACGGTCGCAGCTGTGTCAGGAGCCCCGGTGAGGGCCTTGGGGACACAGCCACGCCCTGTGGTTCTGCCTGCTGGCGCTTCTTTGGTCGGGGAGCTGAGGTCACAGAGGTGGCGTTTACCCCAAATTCTGGCTGGTGTCTGTGGCCTTGCTTAGGGTTTCCTGCCTCAACCAGAGCCTGCTCTTGGTCTCTGCGCTCGTGTCTACCAGCGCCTGTGCCAAGTGGGACCACAGGTGCCAGGCACCATGTCTGCTCTGTACATGCATGAGATCCATGCCTGGCCTGAGAGCTGGCCCCATGCTCCCTCCTGTGGCAGAGAGGAGCCAGGCTCAGGCCCTGCACCGGGGGGGCTGCTCTGGCTGCCTTCCCACGTGGTGAGGAGGGAGGGCAGCCAGGCTTGGGAGCCAAGGCGCATGCTCTGAGTCGGGCTTCCCTCCTGGCCGCTCAGGAACTCTCATGGTCACCATTTATCTGAGCTCAGCTCTGGGCCAGGCAGTGCTTGAGCCAGTGAGGGGCAGTAGAGGAAGAAGGGACGCAGCTTCGTGTGGTCAAGGTCGGGGTGCTATGGTCTGCGGCACTGGAGCTCAGTGTTGTTGGGTGTGGTAAGGGGGTGCACAGGTGTGGTGGGCATCTTGCTGTGCCAGGGGCCTCAGTGTCCCCATTCGGGGACTCCAGGGGCTTATGTCTGCTTCCGAGTTTCAGGAATGGGGGATTTTGTCTATCCATGGTGCAAAGTGTCTAGCAGGCTCAGCAGCTCCCCCATCCAGGGCCACATATATGATGGCGACACCCAGCGCTCTGCCCTCCATTGGAGCAGCCACAGCTGCAGAGCAGGGTAGTGGACAGTGATGGACGCTGAGTCCCGAGTGGTCCTGGGAACACAGGTGGAGCCCTAAGGCACGGTGGGACGAGCCTCAGCTGCCTTGGCCCCTGCCCCAGCACTGGGGGGTCTGGGGGCTTCCACCCAGAGGACAAGTGGCCCCATGAGCTGCCCCTCGTCTGCTGCCCGCCCGTGGGGAGCAGGTTCTGCTTCTGATCTTGGTGGGGAGTGTCAGGGGTTCATTTTGACATCTTTGACCCTGGCGGTCATCTTGCTGGGGATATGGGGTAGATGGGGTGCAGAGTCATCCACATGAAGACAGAATGGAGCCTGGGCAACACCCCCCGGCAGATGGTCCTCTGGCCCAGGGCCCAGTGCTGGGGTAGCCCCTTGCCTGCGGAGCCCTGGCACCCTGTGTCGGGCAGAAGGGCAGGTGCCACAGCCTGAGCGCCCCCGGGAGAGGAGCCCACTCAGCCTGGGGAGGGGTTTCGGTAGCCCAGCCCTGTGTGGAGGCTCTGCTTCCTTCCAGCTTGGCAGCCTCCACCTGCAGTGTCACCCAGACCACAGCCAGCCACAGAGCCAGGTCGGGGCGCCTCATGGGGCAGCTTGGCAGAGGAGGCTGCGCAGCCACTTTCTCAGCCTTGGCACACCCAGCTGGGACCACCAGCTCCTGGAGCCCCAGCTTTCAGGGCAGTCTGCAAGACCAGGGACTAGGGTGCACCAGCTCAGAGTGGGGCAGCACACGTGTGCACATGAATACAAGTGCAGTGTACATGCGTGTCCATGCAGGCGTGCGATTGCGCCTGTGTGTGTGTGTGTAGGATACGGAACACACGGTGATGAATGTGTATGGAGGGTTGTGTAATGTGTGTGAATTCGCATGTGTGGTGGCTACAGATGAAGCTCTTCTGGGGCTCCCGGGTGCCCTGGCCCCCTGCGTAGCAGAGCAGCCCACCCTTTCCCTGCACAGGACTCAGGGCTCTGACTTGAGCAGCAGCATGGCCTAGGGTGGGAGGGACTCCCGGGGCCCCTGTCACCAGGACACCTGCCTCTCTCCCACAGGACATGCTGGGCTGGCGCCCCCTGCTGCTCGCCCTGATGGCGCTGCTCCCCCTGGGGTTTGGTGAGTCCTGGGGCTGGGGTGCCAACGTCCTCCAGGGCAGCGGCTCTGCCACTGGATCCCCTGAAGCTGCAGAACCGGCTTGCCCCTCACTCACCTCTCTGTGGCTCAGCTAGGGCGGGGCAGGGCACCCCACCCTCCACTGTCTCTCCCCCGGGTTCCCTCACACCTGCGCCTGTCCCCCCAGTCGTTTCACAGGAGTGCATCAAGTACAAGGTCAGCAACTGTCGAGAGTGCGTGCAGTCGGGCCCTGGCTGCGCCTGGTGCCAGAAGCTGGTAAGAGCGTGCGGCTGTGTCCTTGTGACAGCGGTTCTGCGTCCCCTGGCCGGGGACCTTCTCTGCCTCCGAAGCCAGTGGCAGCAGCAGTGCCCACAGCCACATCCTGGGGGAGCAGGAACAGCTGGAGTTGGAGGCACACGTCATCTTGGTGCCGCCCTGCGATTGGACCCTGAGGCAGAGAAGGCCGGGTTCCGCGTGACCCTGCAGGGAGACCCAAGGCTGCCCACGCTGCTGCCCCAGTGTCACCACAGGGGCTGCATCCACATCGAGCCTGGGCCCCTCACCGCGGGGCCGTGCCCACTGAGGGAGCCTGGGCCCCTCACCGCGGGGCCGTGCCCACTGAGGGAGCCTGGGCCCCTCACCGCGGGGCCGTGCCCACTGAGGGAGCTCCAGGCAGCTTTTTCTCCTCTATGCTCCTGCTTGAGCACGCAGTCAGGTCAACCGGTAGCTCCTACCATTCACCGTGTTCTCCAGTCTGATGCTCCATGGGAACCCTTGTGTGGACCCTTGGGCTGGCCTATGTCCAGGGAGATTGGGGACCCTATTGGTCCACGTGTGGAGGCGCCCTGGACCAGTCTGGGGATGTGTGGGTGAGCGATGCTTCTGATGGTCCCTCAACTCTCTTGTCCTGCCTGGCCTGGCTTCTCCGGTCTCAGAAAAGCTGCCCCCCACCCCGCTTAGTTTACCTCCTCGTTTGTTCAGTTGCATCAGCAAGGGTTAAAAGGTGCCAGCCCTCAGCAAGGCAGCCAGCAGACCCCTGGGGGCCTGAGGCTGCGGCCAAGGCTGGGCCCTGCCTGGCTTGGTGGCTCCCTGCAGGCATCTGACACAGGCATGGGTCCCCATGAGTCTGCATGGACCACAGCTCAGTGCTGCTTCGTGGTGTGGCAGATTGCTCTCTGCAGCCCTCAGCTCTGAGTGGGACGGGTGTGAGGACCTGCTTGTCAGAACCCAGGGCAGTCTGATGGGGAGAAAGTGCCCTGGATGGGCCCCCTCTGGCATCCCTCTGACCCAAGGCAGCCCAAGCTATATGGGGGACTCCCATCCCCTTTGCCCTACTGGCCCCACTGGGCTTAGTCTGGACTCCTCGAGGAAAGGCACCCAACCCCTTCCTCCTCTGACAAGGAGAGTCCCAGGCCCCCAGAAGGGGTGGCCTCCCAGTGGTTCTCCCAGGCCCCAGAGGGGTGGCCTCCCAGTGGTTCTCCCAGACCCCCAGGAGGGGTGGCCTCCCAGTGGTTCTCCCAGGCCCCCAGGAGGGGTGGCCTCCCAGTGGTTCTCCCAGGCCCCCAAGGGGTGGCTTCCCAGTGGTTCTCCTAGACCCCCCAGAAGGGTGGCCTCCCACTGGTTCTCCCAGGCCCCCCGAGGGGTGGCTTCCCAACAGTTCTTCCCTGTCCCCTAGAACTTCACAGTGCCAGGGGAACCAGACTCCAGCCGCTGTGACACCCGGAAGCAGCTACAAGCCAGGGGCTGCCAGGCCGATTACATTGTGGACCCCCAGAGCCTGGCCAAGCTGGAGCAGCTAGGAAACCAGAGGCAGCAGCTTTCCCCAGAAAAAGTGACCCTCTTCCTCAGACCAGGTAGGTGTAGGCCCCAGCCTGCACTGAAGGGCAGTGAGATGGGGACCCCCAGCCTGCTCTGGGGGCACTGGCCTAGCCTAGCCTACTGTACAGCCTGGTTCCGGATAGCCAGCCCTCACCCAGGCTGCTGGGTGACCTCAGCTCCCTGCGGGAGGCCTCTGCCCACAGCTGGGTTCTGCTTGACTGAGCTGGACTGCCCTCCTGCTGAGGCCGCACACACCACACACCTCCCCCACTGTGCACTCAGCCCAGTGTGGTGTTGATAGAGCACTGGGGCAGCTTCCCCAAGAGGACGGGGGCTGCAAGTCTGAGCAGCATCAAGGCCCTGTGTGGGGACCCCAGGCTGGGGCAGAGCCCAGCTGCAGCCTGAGTCCAGGAGAGAGCAGATCTGCAGGTGCTCGCTATCCTGCACGGGGCGGGGGCACGGGACCGTGGCGAGGCCGCTGGGGCACTAGCCCTGCCTCGGCTGGCATCTGACTGGCCCCCACCTGTCCCCTGGGGGCCCTGGCCAAAGGGCATCGAGGGCATCTCAGGTGGAAGTCCTGCCTGCTGAGTGCCACGGTAGAGGGGAGGGACACAGCCTGTGGTGGGCTGTGTCCAGGCCAGCCCTGCTCCGGGCAACAAGTGCTTCAGCAGTGGCTGGGGCAGGCACGGCCAGGCCTGCACAGTGGAACAGGCTTCCTGCTCAGCCCGGACAGGAAACACCTGCCAGCCAGGAGAGCTGCTGGGGGAGACCTAGGAGTGTGCAGTGAGAGTGTGAGTGAGGGCTGTGTGAGAGTGTGAGGGCTGTGCGTGTGTGTGTGAGGGCTGTGTGTGTAAGAGTGTGAGGGCTGTGCGTGTGAGAGTGTGAGTGAGGGCTGTGTGTGTAAGAGTGTGAGGGCTGTGCGTGTGTGTGAGTGAGGGCTGTGTGTGTAAGAGTGTGAGGGCTGTGCGTGTGAGAGTGTGAGTGAGGGCTGTGTGAGAGTGTGAGGGCTGTGCGTGTGTGTGTGTGTGAGGGCTGTGTGTGTAAGAGTGTGAGGGCTGTGCGTGTGTGAGTGAGGGCTGTGTGAGAGTATGAGGGCTGTGCGTGTGTGTGTGAGTGAGGGCTGTGTGAGAGTGTGAGGGCTGTGCGTGTGTGTGTGAGTGAGGGCTGTGTGAGAGTGTGAGGGCTGTGCGTGTGTGTGTGAGTGAGGGCTGTGTGAGAGTGTGAGGGCTGTGCGTGTGTGTGTGAGGACTATGAGTGTGTGAGGATTGTGAGTGTGAGGGCTGTGAGAGTGTGAGAGTGTGAGGACTGTGAGTGTGAGAGCTGTGAGTGTGTGAGGACTGTAGGACTGTGAGTGTGTGAGGGCTGAGTGTGAGTGATAGAGGGCTGTGTGTGTGTGAGGACTGAGTGTCAGTGCTGTGTGAAGACTGCTGTGAGTTCTGTGAATGTGAGTGTGTAAGGACTGAGTGTGTGAGGCTGTGTGTGTGTGCTGTGTGTATCTATGTGAGCATGGTGTTTCTTGTGTGTGCTATGCACATTCTCGTCTGTGTGTAAAGCAGTTGTGTGATTGCAGGTATATATACAGATGTAGGTGTGACACTGGGGTGTGTGTGTGTGTGCGTGCGCGCCTGGCAGCTGTCCCTCCCTCCTTGGCTCCCTCAAGTGACGAGCTTGTTGGGAGCTCACCACGTGCTTGTCCTGAGTGGGTGACAGACACTCTGTGAGGCGACAGTCGCTCCGTGAGGCGACAGACGCTCCATGAGGTGACAGTCGCTCCGTGAGGTGACACTCTGTGAGGCGACAGTCGCTCCGTGAGGTGACAGTCGCTCCGTGAGGTGACAGACGCTCCGTGAGGTGACACTCTGTGAGGCGACAGACGCTCCGTGAGGTGACACTCTGTGAGGCGACAGTCGCTCCGTGAGGTGACAGACACTCCGTGAGGTGACACTCCGTGAGGTGACAGACATTCCATGAGGTGACAGACATTCCATGAGGTGACAGACGCTCCGTGAGGTGACACTCTGTGAGGCGACAGTCGCTCCGTGAGGTGACAGACACTCCGTGAGGTGACAGTCGCTCCGTGAGGCGACAGTCGCGTGCAGGCTGTGAGGAGGTGGAGAAGGGGGCCTCCCCACGGGGTGCGGGCATTGGGTCCCTGCCGGACGCCAGCCCCAGCCGTGTTCAGAGCTCGAGAAGGTGCGTAGAGTCGGCGTAGAGAGAAAAGAAACGGACCACTACGGTTTCAGGATCATAATGGACCATTCAAGAAAGCTGTCCTCTTTATTTATACAGAAGCCTTCACAAACTCTGGCTCAGACTTTTTACGTCATGGTCAAGTGGGTGTTTCTAAGGATAATTCTGCCCTTTGTTTCACCTTAAAGCAGGATGTTATCCATCCTGACCCTGTGGTCAGGAAGTTCTCAATAGATGGTGCATATCAATCAGTAACACATTCCTACTACAATCCTCATTCTGCAGCTTAGTCTAGAATCAGTCAAGGGAGGAAAGGCATCACGGAAGGAGGGAGCTGCGGATCAAGGATGGTCAATGGGGACAGTGAGACAGCATGAACCGTAAAAAGCCCTTTGCCAATGAGCACATCATCTCCCAAGCTCACATTGGTAGTAAAAGCCAACTCGCGGTGGCAGACAATGCCTAAATAGATGACAGAATTCTCAGCAGGGTGGTTGGGTGTCCATGCAGAGGGAGGTGGAGCTGCCTTCAGGTGGTTGCCCGGCCCTGCCATGCAGCGGGAAGATTCCTCGTGGCCTTGCCTGCAGGGGAACAGTTCTCCATGCACTTTTGTACTTCCGTGTCCTCCACACCCACTGCACGGACCTCAGCAGGTCTCTGTGGCTGCTGGGCGGCCAGCGGCTGGGCCTTAGCCGGGCAGTCTCGGGCCTGAGGTTTTGACCAATAACGAGCATGTCGCCTGGGGAAGGGGAGCCTGGGTCCCGTACCAGGGCTCGGAGATGGGGTCCTGGCGAGGCCCCCCGGGTTGGGACCCTTCCGCCACAGGCCCGAGGTGCTGGGCCTGGCCCTGGCTGAGGACACCCACTGCACAGCATCTGGCCTGCAGCCATTGGCCGTGTTGGCATGCTGGCATGTGGGTCTGCCTCAGCCCTGCTGCCAGGGCATGGGAACAAGTGAGGGTGCAGAGCCTGGGGCTGGGGGTGCCCAGTAGCCACTCACTCCCACCCCGTGTCACGGGCAGGCCAGGCGGCTGCATTCAACGTGACCTTCCGCCGGGCCAAGGGCTACCCCATCGACCTCTACTACCTGATGGACCTGTCCTACTCCATGCTGGATGACCTCATCAACGTTAAGAAGCTGGGCGGCGACCTGCTCCGTGCCCTCAACGAAATTACCGAGTCCGGCCGCATCGGTGAGGCCTTCCTGGGCAGTTGGCACCTGCTGTCCACACACCAGAACCCACAGGGTCCCACAGGCATCTCCAGGAGAGGACCGGTCTCTAGCCCCTGAGGCCACAGCCATGGTCCAGCCCCTTCTCCCTCTCTTCTCCCCAACCTCATGTTTACCATTAAAGGCCAAAGGCCCACGGTGCTGCTTTTGCAAAACTAAAGGCAGCTGTCCGCAGGCCGTGCCGGCATTCTAGCACCGATGGGTAACAGGTTAACTACCAGCCGAAGTCTGGGCACTGGGTGTATCCTGACCCGTTTACAAAGTGCCAAGTCTTGGGTGCCCAGATGGGTGAGGGTCAGCATCTCCTCCACCCCAGCCGCTCCCCGGAGCAGCACTGCCTGTCGGTCGAACCTGTGAGACAAGTGCACACGTGTGTTCAGAGCCTTGCTCACGTGTGCAAGGCATGCGCACACTCACTCGGGTGCCTGACAACGCTCTCCCTCCAGCCTCATGCTGCCCCATCTGCCCACAGGCTTTGGGTCCTTTGTGGATAAGACAGTACTGCCCTTTGTCAACACACACCCCGAGAAGCTCAAGAACCCGTGCCCCACCAAGGAGAAGGCGTGCCAGGCGCCGTTCGCCTTCCGGCACGTGCTGAAGCTGACCAGCAACTCCGACCAGTTCCAGACCGAGGTTGGCAAGCAGCTGATCTCCGGGAACCTAGATGCCCCCGAGGGCGGGCTCGACGCCATGATGCAGGTCGCCGCGTGCCCGGTAAGGCCGCTGCCCTGCCGAGTGACCCCAGGGGCTGCCTGCAGACCAGGTGGGGCAGAGAGGGAAGTGCCTCCCCAAGAGGGACCTGCAGGCTCTCATGCTGACTGGCAACCCCCACATAACTTCTAGAATCCACCATGGCATAGGCCCCTGGCAGCCCTGAGCTGTCCTGGGCGGAGCCGACCGTGCTCCTGACCAGGCCAGGAGGGCAGGCTGGGCTGGGGCCCCAGGGAGGGAGGGGGCTCCTCCAGGCAGGGAGGGCTGTGCGTCCATCACCCCTGCTAGATCTTGAGGCAGATGCTCCTGCCCGCACCCTGCTCAGGAGGAAATCGGCTGGCGCAACGTCACGCGGCTGCTGGTGTACGCCACTGATGACGGCTTCCACTTTGCTGGAGATGGGAAGCTGGGGGCCATCCTGACCCCCAACGACGGCCACTGCCACCTGGAGGACAACATGTACCGGCGCAGCAACGAATTCGTGAGCCTCTCCCCAGCCCTGCGCAGCCCACCTCCCTCCCAGGGGACCCCTTTGCTTCCCATAGCCGCCTGGCCCTACAGACCTCAGGGCCTGCAGAGAGCGGGGCTGGGCCCACCTTCCCGCCCAGCTCTCCTCTGGGCTGCCCCTTCCCCTCTTAGGGGGACTGTCCCCCACTCACAGCCAGGAGAGGGACACAGGCACACAGATGAACAGGGCCCAGGGTCAGCGGGGCAGGGCAGGGCAGGGCCAGGGCTGACTTTAGGGGGTGGAGGAATCCCCTCTTTGGCTGAGGCCACGTGGCCAAGAGGGTCTGGGCTCCCGAGTGCAGCTGGCACAGCTGGCCCAAGGCCACCCCCAGGCCAGAAGCATGCCTCGTTCCTGAGATGTGTGATCCGAGGTCTGTCCGCAGGACTACCCTTCAGTGGGGCAGCTGGCGCACAAGCTGGCCGAGAGCAACATCCAGCCCATCTTTGCAGTGACCAAGAATATGGTCAAGACCTATGAGGTGCGAGGGGCGGGGCCTTGGCGAGGGGCGGGGTCTGCAGCAAGGGGCGGGCTCTCTAACATGGCTGGAAGCTGCTGGTGCCTGCCTGTGGCCAGCTTGAGTGGACAGCGCTGCTGCAGTGGGGTCCCCTCGCGGGTCTCTGGGCTGATCGTGGGGTCCCACTCTCCCGGCGCTACAGAAGCTCACAGAAATCATCCCCAAGTCCGCAGTCGGGGAGCTGTCTGAGGACTCCAGCAACGTGGTGCAGCTCATCAAGGACGCCTACAGCGTGAGTGAGGCCCGCAAGGGGGGCGGGCCCCCTTGGCCTCTGGACACCCTGGCCCGACCTCTGCTCACAGGCATCTCCCGGTCTGCTCCCTGATGGTGTCCTGGGGGCTGCCACAGACCCCAGCTCCCCCAGGAGCCTCGTGGACAAGGAGACATGGGGAGCAGGCAGCTCCCCCACCCCAGGGGTGGTGTCTCTGAGCTACAGAGTCTCTGTCTGGCAGCTTTCCACCTGGCAGTCTGCAGTGTGGATGCCCTCACCCCGGGGCCACAGGCCTGGTGGCCCCCTGAACACTGCAGGCCCAGCAGGTCGGAGAGAGCTGCTCCGGGCCAGGGCTCCTAGGGGATGGAAACCCCACTCATGCTAGGGCCCCAGCAGGGACCACTTTGTTTCCCACAGTCAATGGGGTGGCAGCCCTGTCACCTGGGCACCCCACAGGCCTCTACGTGGGTGTGGTCTGTGGTCAGTGGGACTGGAGGAGGGGTACGCAGCTCTGGTACCACCCACCCCGTCCCACACACCCTGGGCGCAGGGGAGGGCAGGGGACGATTCACCGAAGTGCCACCCTCGCCCTCCACTGTAGAAACTGTCCTCCCGAGTCTTCTTGGACCACAGCGCCCTCCCCGATACCCTGAAGGTCACCTATGACTCCTTCTGTAGTAACGGAGTGTCACTCATGGGCCAGCGCCGAGGAGATTGCGACGGCGTGCAGATCAACGTTCCGGTGAGCCCCTGGCCCAGCTTGGGGAAGGGCCTGCTGCTGCCACCCCGGAAACCGTGGGGAGAAGCTGTGCTGGTTAGCATGCAGAGTGGCAGGGAAGCAGCCCCCATTTCTCTGCCTTGTAGGGCCAGGCACCCCTGGGAAGCCAGCCCAGCAGGTGCCGGGGGAGGGTGCAGGCAGGGCACCGGATGTGCCCCTTGGCCTGGGCACATTCGCCAGCGGCTAGAAGAGCCTCAGGTGCCAGAGTGACTGGGGCTGGGGCCAGGCAGACATCGGGACGGCCTCGATTTGCCTGCTTTTCTTTGCTTGCTTCATTCTATTTCCTGAGAAACCTTAGGGCATAGAACCTCACCTACAGCCCCTGAGTCCCCGCCCTAGCATCTTAGACTGCAGTGCCTCCTGCAGCTGGGGGCCTGCTTTTGTCACAGGTTTAAATGACTTCACAGTGCCTGCAGTGGCACCGCTTGCCACATGTCGCAGATGATCATAGCTGGGCTTCGTGGTTGAGGAGGCCGTGGGGAGGGAGGTGGGGGACAGGTGGCGGTGGAGTGACCTGTGCAGGAAGGCAGGCTCACTCGGGGGTCTTGGCTGTGGCTGCTGCCCCCTAGGCACCCTCAGGCTGCAGTCCGCTCTGCTCTTGGGGTCACCATAGAACTCCTGTCAGCATCTCAGTATGGGAGGCTGCCTACAAGACAGCCCCAAAAGTGCTCCAGGCTGAGCCAGGGATGGTGTTCCCCCAGTCAGAGGCTCTGGGGGCCTTGGGTGCTGGCAGGAAGAGCTGGCTGGAGCCTGCTGGCCCCTGGCTCTGGCTCAGCCCTTCCTCTCTGAGTCTCAGTTGAAGGCTCCCTGCTCCCTGCGTGATCTTCTCCCCTGCCCAGTCCTGCAGCCGTCACCCCCACCCCCGCCCCACCCTATGAGGCAGGAGCCAGGTCTTGACACTGGCTGCCCCACGGTCCCTCTGCAGGTCACATTCCAGGTCAAGGTTACGGCCACCGAGTGCATCCAGGAGCAGTCCTTCGTGATCCGGGCGCTGGGCTTCTCAGACACGGTCACCGTGCGGGTCCTTCCCCAGTGCGAGTGTCAGTGCCACGACCAGAGCCGTGAGCGTGGTCTCTGCGGGGGCAAGGGCTCCATGGAATGTGGCGTCTGCAGGTGAGGGTGCAGGTGGCCCACGGCACCCAGCCCCACCACCCAGGCAGGCATCCAGGTTCTACCTGCAGGAGCAGGAGGGCTTGGGGATTTTGCCCAGAGAACCCACTGCCTCGGTGCCCTCCCCCTGGTCCCCAAGCTAGCGTGTCTGTGATCAGTGTGTCCAAGCCTCACTCGGCACGACCGCCACCGCACAGGGCTGCCCCTCTGAGACACCTCCCCAGACCCAAACACAGAGGGCAGGCGAGGCAGAAGTGGGGTTTAAAACCTGCAGGCGCTCGTCTGGGCAGGGGCCGAGGCAGGGAGGTGGGAGAGGCTGCCGTGCCAGTTCCCGACAGCTGCCAGCGACCCCAGGGCAGGTGAGAGCAGGCACAGGGCTACAGCGTGGTCCCACAGTGAGGCTGCAGGAGCCACTGGTACTCACGCGTGCTTCTCTGCGTGGTATCCTCACATGTGGACAGACAGGGTATGGGATGCATGCTCAGGAGACCTTGAGGGAGAGCAGACTGGTCAGTCAGGGACCTAGAGCCCTCCGTGCTGCCTCCCGCCCCAACAACAGGTGTGATGCTGGCTACATCGGCAAGAACTGCGAGTGCCAGACGCAGGGCCGCAGCAGCCAGGAGCTGGAGAGAAGCTGCCGGAAGGACAACAGCTCCATCATCTGCTCGGGGTTGGGAGACTGCATCTGCGGGCAGTGCGTGTGCCACACCAGCGATGACCGCAACAAGAAGATCTTCGGGCGGTACTGCGAGTGCAACAACATGAACTGTGAGCACTACAACAGCCAAGTCTGCGGGGGTCCAGGTGAGCGGCCACCGCTCGGCTGGCCAGGGGTGTGGGCAGCAGATGCTTCTGCAACAGCCCTCAGCCCACCCAGCTTTTGTACTAGCCTCGGGGTCAGGGAATGTTCCAAGGGACAGCCCTGAGCAGGGACACTCAGCGCCCCAGCGAGGTCCCCCGCTCAGGGAGACACGTGGGCACGCAGACCCAACCAGGAGTTGCCGTCAGGGCTGGGAAGGCATAGACAGGGCTCCTGGGGCCCAGGCTGCTGCATGAGGAGAGTAGAGACAGGGGTGGGACAAAGGAGGAGGCCAAGGCCGCAGGCCATGGCTGCGTGGTAACCCAGCGGAGGGCACAGCCGTGCAGACCAGTGGGGGTGAGGATTCCAGACCCCCCTGGGCCAAACAGGACGGGGAGCCTGCAGGGGTCACTGCTGTCTTCCAGAAAGGGGGGAGTGCTCCTGTGGCCAATGCCACTGCCGCGACAACTTCGAGGGCTCGGCGTGCCAGTGCAAGAAGTCCACGGAGGGCTGCCTGGACACGCAGGGCGTGGTGTGCAGTGGCCGTGGGCGGTGCGTGTGTAACGTGTGCCAGTGTGATGACTTCTACCAGCTCCCGCTGTGCCAGGATTGCCTGGCCTGCCCCTCACCTTGTGGCCAGCACATGTGAGTGCCCCCCGGGCTGAGAGTCCTGTCTGTGGCCCCTGTCCTCACTGTGCACCTGCAGGCTCTCTGCTGGTCCCACCCACCCCTGCCTCGCTACGGTGAGCACCCAGGTGGCCCATGTGGGTACACCTGCCTGGGCCCCATCTCTGTGCTCACACCTGGCACCCATAGCTCCTGCGTCGAGTGCCTGAAGTTCGGCAAGGGTCCCCTGGAAAAGAATTGCAGTGAGGCGTGCGGGAACCTGAAGCTGGTGGACAAGCCTGTCAAAGGCAAGCCGTGCAAGGAGCAGGACTCGGAGGGCTGCTGGATGAACTTCACCATGCGCCAGCTCTACGGGAAGAACTATGAAGTCCACGTGTTGGATGACCGAGGTGCGGCCAGTGGCACTGGGCCCCAGAAGCTAGTCACCCCAGACAGTGGGGGCTGCAGAGAGAGGGGCTGCAGGCTTGGGGCCAAGGCTTGCAGCTGTGTGTCTCCAGTTAGTCCAACGGCCAAGAGGATGAGAAAATTCTGCTCTGACTATGGGCACTGCTGGCCGCCTGCCCACACAACTCCTGCCATGCCAGGCCCAGTACAGCTGTGAGCTTGTAGAGCCTGGCCCCGTCTGTGGTTCAGGCCAGGGGAGTCAGAGACCCCAAAGTCCACATGGCACAGTGCTGTAGGTCAGAAGAGGAGGAGGAGGAAGAAGGGGTGGAGGGGAAGAGGAGGAGGGGGTACAGGAGGAGGCTGCACCCAAGCAGAGTCGGCAGCGAGGTGTCAGACACAGCTCATCCCTAGTCCCAGCAGGTGCCTGGGGCCTGTCGGGGCCAGGAGTGTGTGTTCTGTAGAAAAGTGCCAAATCGACCTGTGCTGGCGAGAGTGGTGGGCGGCTAGGTGACGCCGTCCTTCCTGTAGGCGCTGGGTGGTCGCTGTGTAGACGAAGTTGGTTGGGGGATTAGTGAATGAGAGTGAGGTGCTGCCTCAGTTGGCAAGCTCTGCCTTGGCTGGCTTCATGCCACCTGGTGAAGGGCTTAGCCAGGGCCGCCTCCTGTCCCGCAGCCACAGGGCTGCTCCTGTGTCCTGCAGGAGTGGGCACTGGGCTTCCTGCCTTCCGTTGCTATTCTCTCAGGCTAGGCTCTGCCGTGGGCACCCCTGGGGCCAGGCCAGAAGGGGAGGGAAACGGGCATTGTAAGACGCTCTCCCCCGCAGGGTGTGTGGCGGGCCCCAAGGTAGCCGCCATCGTCGGGGGCACTGTGCTGGGCGTGGTGCTCATCGGCGTCCTCCTGCTGGTCATCTGGAAAGCCCTGACACACCTGAGTGACCTCCGGGAGTACAGGCGCTTTGAGAAGGAGAAGCTCAAGTCCCAGTGGAACAATGTAAGGGTCCTCCGGTTCCCCAAGGCCCAGCCTCTGGCTCCAGGCACCCCTCCCTGCCCTCCCTGCGCCCCAGCCCCCGGCTCCGGGCACCCCTCCCTGCGCCCCAGCCTCTGGCTCCAGGCACCCCTCCCTGCGCCCCAGCCCCCGGCTCCGGGCACCCCTCCCTGCCCTCCCTGCGCCCCAGCCCCCGGCTCCGGGCACTTCCCTTCCCACCCACCCCCGCTGCCTCCGCCGCTGGCTCCAGTGCCCAGGACGGTCATCCTGTCCCCTCCGGCTCTTCCCCAGAGCGGCAGCTCCCATGTTGCCCTCAGGCCTCCCCTCTAACTGGTCCACATTCCGTCTCTCTCCAGGATAATCCCCTCTTCAAGAGTGCCACCACAACAGTCATGAACCCCAAGTTTGCTGAGAGCTAGGAGCCCCCGTTGGGGACAGGACTTTGGGGCTCCTGCAGCCCAAGGCCCCGCCACAGCAGCATTGTCTGTTCACCCATGGCCGCTGTCCCCTACCCCTTCCCAGCGCCAAGCAAGGTCAGGCTCCCTCGGCTGCAGGCTGCCGGGAGAGGCACGAGAGAGGCACCGCTCTGGTCCTGGCTTTTGCACGCGTGTTTGTGAGAGTTAACCATGTGAGAGCTCGCCGGTTGTCCTTACACTCAGCAGGTATAAAACCACACCCCGACAGCACAGCCACTGACCCCATGCGTAATAAAAACACGCTTCAAACTTGGTACAGGCTGTCCGTGGAAGCCGGGCCCCTGACCACTGTGCAGCCTGCCTCAACCCGGCAAGCTAGCCGGGACCCCGTACCATGCTCTGGGGGTGCTGGGCTCTGCCGCCCCTCCTTTTCCTCGCCTGTGGTCCTGAGGCATTCAGGGCAGCTTTCCAGAAAGAGCACGGGAGCCCCTCAAGCATCCTCCCTCCTCCGTCACCTGTCAGGCCTAGGGAGACCTGTCTGCTCTAGGGAGAACGCAGTGGGCAGGGCTGGGACCAGAGGGCAACCAGGGGGGATGTTTAAAGGAAGGTGTGGTGATGACCCTGGGGACCGGGGGTAATACCGGTGGGTCAGGGCGTGACCCCGGCAGGTCAGGGGCATGACCCCGGTGGGTCAGGGGCGTGACCCCGGCAGGTCAGGGGCATGACCCCGGTGGGTCAGGGCGTGACCCCGGCAGGTCAGGGGCATGACCCCGGTGGGTCAGGGGGTGACCCCGGCAGGTCAGGGGCATGACCCCGGTGGGTCAGTGCCCTCACCGTCTCACTTGCCTGATGCTGTGCAGAGGGTAGGGCTGAGCGGGCCTGTAGGCCGGTTTCCACACCCTGCTGGTGTTTGGTGGCTCAGTTGTGCATTCTGCAGACAGGGGAAGCCATGGCTGCAAGCATGTTTCAGGTGATGCTTGCCATTTGAAAAGAAAGTGATTTACTTTTATGAACGTCACGAGTGACAGAGAAGGAGGGAGCAATCCCTTTATTGAGTCATCTCCAGGGGGTTGCAACGGCTGGGGCTGAGCCAGACAAACCAGGTCCCTGGAGCCACATCCGGGTCTCCCACGTGGGAGCCCAGGTACTTGGGCCGTCTTCTCTGGCCTTCCCAGGACATCAGCAGGGAGCTGAATCAGAAGTGGAGCAGCCAGGACAAGAACTGGTGCCCATTTGGGATGCCAGCAGCCCCCAGCTGACCTCACCCCATTATTTTTTACTCAAGAATTTCTGGTTTACAATCCCAGCAATTACTGATTAAAGACCACCCATCCAGCCGAACCAAAGGCTACACGAAGCCCAAGGCTCAACATTGGCCACAGCAGCACGTCATTCCAGTCCCGGAGAGTCATCTGACTCATGTTGTCAATCAGAGATATTAGGAACAGAACAAGTTAAGCCACATGTGGGTCACCTGTGCCCCTCACTGCGTCAGTGGCCGTGGTGCTGCTGCCCACCGCCCCCCGCCCCGAGAGCAGCTGGAGCTCAGTCTCCCGCCTGGTTTGTCTCTGTCAGCAGTGTCCGGTGCGGGATGGGCGGCAGCAAGCCCCACAGTGCAGTCAGAGCACGCAGCCAGGCTGTGCTTGCTGCGATCGCCTCCTCTCATTTCAGAGGGCACTCTGGGCATGCAGGGGGCTTAAAGGGAGCAGTGGGCACTGCCAGAGAGGTGGTCTTGAGGGTGAGCCCCTGGACGCAAGCCCAGGTCCATGCTTAGCAGGTGTGGGACCTTCGCCTCCTGTGCCAGTAGTAGGGTTGGGTGGGGAGGTCTCAGTGGGAGCGGCACAGGGGGCAGTTTGAGAATCGCAACTGCCCCAAAAGGCATGGCCAACTGGAATATTCTAGGTCTTGCCTAGAGGCCTCCCATGGCGGCCACCAGCTCTGAAATCCAGGCAGCTAACATCTCCTTGAAGCTATACAAGCAACCCACCTACCAGGGGTCATCTCTCCCTGTGGACTGACCTGGCACTGACTCTGGCCGTGGCACAAGCCCATGTCTACCAGCCTTTGCCCCCCACAGCGTAGCAGTCCCAGCCCCCACATTCCGGGCCCTTCCTACTCCCTTCCACCCAATATCCAAATCTGGGTCTTCAGGTGCTGGCCCTCTCCCCACGTGGTGGCTTAGTGGCCACCTGGGAGGAGCCGGTCTTCCCACACAGTTCCTCTGGAGTCATCCTTGAACCAGCCCACTAGTGTGAGGTTTCTCAGGGGACACAGCCACCGAAGAATTGTGCTTCGAGGCCCAGCGGGGACTCCACAGTGGACTCCAGCACCCAGGCTGTGCCCAGCGGGGACTCCACAGTGGATTCCAGCACCCAGGCTGTGCTGCGGGCGCCTGCCCTTCCACCTGAGCACACAGGGAGGAATTGTGCTTCGAGGCCCAGCGGGGACTCCACAGTGGACTCCAGCACCCAGGCTGTGCCCAGCGGGGACTCCACAGTGGATTCCAGCACCCAGGCTGTGCTGCCGGGGCCTGCCCTTCCACCTGAGCACACAGGGAGGAATTGTGCTTCTTCAAGGCCCAGCGGGGACTCCACAGTGGATTCCAGCACCCAGGCTGTGCTGCCGGGGCCTGCCCTTCCACCTGAGCACACAGGGAGGAATTGTGCTTCTTCAAGGCCCAGCGGGGACTCCACAGTGGATTCCAGCACCCAGGCTGTGCTGCCGGGGCCTGCCCTTCCACCTGAGCACACAGGGAGGAATTGTGCTTCGAGGCCCAGCGGGGACTCCACAGTGGACTCCAGCACCCAGGCTGTGCCCAGCGGGGACTCCACAGTGGATTCCAGCACCCAGGCTGTGCTGCGGGCGCCTGCCCTTCTACCTGAGCACACAGGGAGGAATTGTGCTTCTTTGAGGCCCAGCGGGGACTCCACAGTGGATTCCAGCACCCAGGCTGTGCCGCGGGCGCCTGCCCTTCCACCTGAGCACACAGGCCTCCCTCCTCAGTTGTCTTCTAGAACAAACTCAGAGGGTGTCAGCCAGCTCTGCTCCCCCACAGCCCTGCCCTGGCTGCTTCGTGCTTACGGTGCTGTGAGCTCAGTACTCCTCAAGTCCCCGAGCACTCCTGCGTGCTTGATGATCTTGGAGAATGAACACACGCATCATTTAGGAACTTCTTCCTTTCGACTCCTAAATTCACTTTAAATACTGTCCTACACTGGCTCTCGTATATTTTTAAAGATTTGTTTTTGTTGGAAAGTCAGACTTACAGGGAGAAGGACAGACAGATCTTCCGCCTGCTGGTTCACTCTCCAAGAGGCCGCGATAGCCCGAGCGGAGCTGACCTGCAGCCAGGAGCCGGTCCCGATGAGGGCATAAAGTGTGTGACAGGGGAGAAGTGGGCCAGACGCATGGCCTGTTGTAGCTACACACAGACAGGATGGCCATTACTGTGACAAGAACCCCGCTGGAGGGGACGGTGGGAAAGCCAAAGCCCCACCCGCCCAGAGCCCATCACTGCTTCCCAGCGGGCTCAGCACGGAGGGCACTTACAGAACAGGCCCGGGTCATGAGGCCGGGCCGGGGGCAGGGGGCAGCTGCCCCGCCTGTGGCAGACAGGGCCCCTTGATCCCAGTCCCTGCTCCTGCTGAGCCAGCGAGGGCCACCGCGGCCAGCACGGACGCTTCTCCCGTGTCCCCAGACAGGCCCAGGCCTGCAGTCCCAAGCCTCTACTCCCCGTCTGCCTTTCAGAACAGGATTTACTTGCTCATGATTTATTTGGTGCAAGAGACACTCCGAGTACCACTGATCCATTCCCCAGATGGCCGCAACAGCCAGGGCTGAGCCAAGCTGGAGCCCAGGGCCAGGAGTTCCATCCTGGTCTCCACACAGGGGGCAGGGGATAGGGGGCAGGGGATAGGGGGCAGGGGATGGCCGCAACAGCCAGGGCTGGGCCAAGCTGGAACCCAGGCCAGGAGCTCCACGGGGGCCGCGGCCCAGGCCTTCCCAGGTGCGCGGGCAGAACTGCAGGCTGCACGCAGAGAAGCCAGGACTCGCATGGACACCCCACTATGGGATGCTGCCCTGGCCCCTGCCTGGCCCACTGCGCCACAAGGAAGTCACCTAGGGTGGAGGCGAGCCCAGCTGGCTGCAGACTGTCCCCTGGCCCAACGGGCAAAGGAGAGGCTCTCCGGGGGGCTGAGGGGGTAGTGACTTCCCGAGGGACCTCCATTCCCCAAAGCCACCACCCAGGGGTCCCTCTGGGCTGACCCCCAGAGTCCGGCTGAGAACCACTTCAGCGACGGAATGTTGGCGAGGAGCCGATCCCGGAGGCGCCAGGCAGGGCAGGGCCGCCGGGCGCTGGGTCCCCGCTGGGCTCGTGCTGGGCTTGCCTGTGAAGGGACACCCGGAGTCCTCCCGGCTTCAGCGCCACACGTGTAGGACCGCTTTGGGGGGCTAGTTCCGAGATTCTAAACGCCCTAATGCATCAGCACACCATTTCGACCTCCCACCACAACCACGGGGGCAGGAAGAGAGGCCTGGGGCGGTGGGCGAGAGGTGACCGCCTGTCAGGACCCAAGTCAGAGGCAGCAGCAGCCGGGCACCGCCACAGGGCCAAGGAAGCGGGAAGCGCTGGCCCATAGGGAGTCCCTTGGCCAAAACGAGTCTGCGCAGGCGCACTAGGCCTGGCGGAGCCTGGGGGCGGGGCTGGCGGGCTGGAGGGTGGGCCTAGCGTGCCAGAGGGCGGGGCTGGCGGCTTCGGGGCGGGGCTGGCGGGCCAGGGGCGGGGCCGGCGGCTCTGGGGGCGGGCCGCGACGGACGCGCAGCCGCAGTCCCAGCCTGCCCGGCCCCCGGCCCACTTCCGGCGCCGCGCTAGCTCCGGGCAGGGCCGGCGGACGCTGGCGTTGCGTCTGTCCAGCTGTCCGGCAGAGACCGAGCGAGCGGCGGAGGGAGCGGCCATGGCGTCCGGCGGGCCGACATCGCGCTCGCGGCTGCCTGTCGGCGGCGCCCTGCTGGTGCTGGTGCTCGTGCGGGCCGCGGCCGCGCAGGAGCCGGCCGGAGGCGGTGAGGGCCGGGCCTGGGGTCGGGTCGGGGTCCGGCGCGCGGAGGAGCCGCCCTTTGACCAGGCGCGTGACGGGGAGGCCCGGGGCTCGGGGGAGGCCGGGGCCGCGGGGCCTCGTGTCCATCCGCGGCTCCGCCCTGGCGAGGTGCAGCCTCAAGGCACGGGAATGCGCGTTGTGCTCGGGGGGAGCCCGGGCTGGGCAGCGTCCTGGGCGGCCACACCCGGTGGCCGCTGGCTGTGAGGCCGGTCCCCCT